CATTTGAGATTGGGGTAGAGTTTGGCAAGTGGAGATGTTCGTAGAGGTGGTATTTGGTAAGGTGGGAAGTGACACTGGCAGGAAAAGACTAGGGGCTAGGCAAGGTGTATAGAACTCCTGTCTGGGAGAGCAGGTGGTGGGACTGGAGATAGTGAGGGACCAGATTGTGCAGGACTTGGACTCTTATCTGCTAGCCAGTGGGGAGCTGATAGCTTTTGAATGAGGGATGAATAGGACTTAATTAAGTGCTTTAGGGAACATTAGTCTGCGCCAGCAGGTGGTGTAGTGGTTAAGGCTCTTGATTATCAAATGACGTACCATGGTTTGAATCCTGGACTGGAGGCTTGAAAATCATACGAAGTGTGTGTGTGCGCATGCCCAGAATCCTGAGAGGAGAATGGAGAAGGGATTGCAGTGTGGCCATCCCCTCTGGCTCACTTTCCCTCTCACTGTCTCTCTCTGGTGAGCACAGGCACCTTATGATGATAACCTTTTCTAAAAAATTATTTTATTTAAATGTATTTATTTGTTTATTTTAATTTTGAGCAAAAGAGAGAGAGAGAAAGAGAAAGAAGGTGAGAAAGCAAGCTGCCAGGTCTGGAACTTGAATCACGGTTGGTCATGTGGGAGTCCAGCGTCCTTAACCACCATGTCATCTGCTGGCTCCTGGCAATAATCTAAAAAAAAGAAACCAAAAAAAAAAAAAAGAAAGAAAGAAAGAAAACATTATTCTTTTTTTCTTTTTTGAGAGAGAGATTTTTGCTATAGGGTGTGTGTGCTCACTGGGGAGACAGAAAGAGACAGAGAGACAGAAAGTGAGAAATCACCCCCTAGGGGAAGGTCCATGCCACAATCCCTTCTCTTCCAGTCTTCTCTCAGGATCTTGGGCATGCATGCACATGTGCCTGGCGTGAGTCTTTAAGTCACTGGGTCTGAGACTTGAACCACAGTCAACTACATGGGAATCCAGTGATGTGATCATTATGCCATCTGTTGGTCCCCCCAGAAAACACTATTCTAATGGCAGTGTGTGACCTGAGGTTAGAGATCAGTGAGGACAGTTAGAAGGCTATCATAGAATAAGGTAATATCCTTGACCTGGGTATTACACACTGCGTGGCTATTTTGGAAAACCATGTTGTACCCCACAAAGATACATAGCAATTAAATGTAGATAAGAAATTATCAAAGGGGGTCGGCAGGTGGCCTGGTGTTTGAGGTACTGGACTCCCACATGGCTGACTGCAGATCGAATCCCAGACCTGGCACCTTGCTTTCTCACTTTCTCTCTCTCTCTCTGGTCAAATTAAAATAATAATAATAAGTAAAATTGAAACAAATAATTCTTTTAAAAAATAAATGACAAAAGGAACAAAAGGCTATCACGGAAGTCAAGATGGGAGGTGACTAGGGCCTGGATGATGCAGTCGGGAGAAAGGATGGAGACAGAGAAATGTGCACGGGGGAGTGAACGCGAGCCTGGGGGCTGGGAGGAAAGGGTGAGGGGAAGAGTCACAGGACTCTTCAGGTGCTCTCATGATCAGAAAGGTGAAGTCAAGAGGAAGAACCGGTGTAAGGCAAGGTGCAAGTTCATTCATCAAACCATTACCACGGAGTTCTGGCTATGTACGCATTGCACTTAGGAAAATTCAACCAACGTGTGGGGTGACCAAAGCGAAGCGAAGCACACAAGTGGGGGCAGTGATAGGGAAATGTAATGCAGCCAGCGGGGCCTGTTCCAGCTCTTCCACTGGATGAATTCCACTGGATGGAAATATGCAAGGCCGGGGAGGCAACTTTGCTATTTCCTCTTTTATTTACAGAACCATGTGTATTTTATGTGTGGCGTAAGGGATTGAGAGTGATTGTGGTTTTTCATAATCTATGTCCTATGTGCTGATTTTAGAACTGAATTCCCTGGCAAGATTTAGTGTTTTAAAACAAACAAAAACACACCTTTTCTGGAGCTATTCGGGTCCCGGACCCGGCAGCTGGAAAATCATGCTGAGCATGTGTGCATGTAATAGCCTTCTAACGGCCCAAAGTCCCAGGAGGAGAATGCAGGAGAAGGAACTGCTGCGTGGCCATCCTCCCGGGGAGTGAGTTCTCATTTTCCTTCTCACCGTCTCTCTCTGGTGAGCACCTGTGTCCTGTTGCAAAAACCTTAAAACAGAAACGAAAAACTAAAAACAAACAGCAGGATCTTTTTCTTTTAATGGCTGCGTAATTCACTATGTAGGACAAATGTGTGCAACACACACACATACACACACACACACATTTTCTTTATCCATTAACCTGTTGATGAGCATTTAGGTTGCTCCTATAGCTTGGCTATTGTGAATAATGCCACAGTGACTATGGGAGTGTGGGTATTTTTATGAAGTAATTTTATCTCCTTTGGGTATATACTCAGAATAGGGCTTGCTAGGTCAAGGTTTTTTTTTTTTCTTTAAAGAATTATTATTATTTTAAAATTTAACTTTATTTATTTATTTTTTAATTTGACCGTAGAGGGAGAGAGTGAGAGAGAGAGAGAAAGTGAGAAAAGAAGCTGCTTATTCTGGGACTCGAACTGCGGTTGGCCGTGTACTGGGACTCGAACTGTGGTTGGCCGTGTGGGAGTCCAGTGCCCCTAACCACCATACCACCTGCCAACCCTGCTAGGTCAAGATTTAACTTTTTCAACTTCTTTTTTCAAAATAAATATTTATTTCTTTATCTATTTAGTTGTTGTCATGTTCAAACCACTGGGTCCCAGACTTAAACTGTGTCGGCTATGTGGGAACCCACCATGCCAGCTGCTGGCCCAGATTTAGTTTTTTCGAATGTGTGCCAGGCCCAAAGCTCGGCATAGGCAGATACTAAGAAGACCCCCCCACCACTCCCCCCGGGGAAGTGCCCCAGGGCTGCTCACAGTGTAGTCGGGTGCAAAGATACAGAGGCAGACGATTAGAGCTACCATCTGGGGGAGTGGTCAGAGAAGGGTGGGGCAGAGAGGAGGGAGATTGGTGGCTGAAGTGTCAAGCAGAGATGGCCCTGTGCCCTGGGCTGGAGAGGGATCTGAGAGTCACCATCAGGACAGGCGAGCCTGAGATCTCTGAGGGAGAGAATACTGAGGAAGGAAGGGCAGTAAAGGGCACTGGCAGGCAGGAAGAGTCGTAAGACAGAGGAACGGTCAGAGCAGTGGGCGGAAATCTAAGGTAAGGTGCAGGAGAACTGAGAACGGGCTTGTGCTTTTCACGATGAGGAAGAAAATGGTGACCTCTGACGGAATAGTTTCAGTAGAGCGGTGGGGACAGGAAAGGGAGTCCGAGAGTGACTGGAAAGCATCTGGTAACAAATGGAGGCCGTGGCCTCTCTCTACCACAGTTTGAGCTGTGGTAAAAGCAACTTAGATGTGTCCCTGAGTGCCCAGAGCAATTTCCCTGGAGGACGTTCGGGCTCTCTGGGAGCCATGGCCTCTGTCCCAGTGCTTCTTCCCACCAGGCCCGGCTGTCTCCACTGGAAGGCAGGCCTTCACAGCACACTGATCCAGGAGTGGGCTTCGCTCTAAGTCTTGTATTCACTGTTTTAAAGACATCGCCCTCTGGAGCACAACCCAGCTGAGCCACAGAGCTCAG